TAGGCAGGGAGCCTGCTTCCTCCTCTCTCTCTCTCTCTCTACTTGTGATCTCTGTCAAATAAATAAAATCTTTAAAAAAAAAAAAAATCTCCAATCCCTACCATGACCTACAGGGTCCTACATTTGCTGACTTCTACTCTCTCCAACCTGCTTTCAAATGCTCTCCTTGCTCACTCCACCTCAGATTAACACAAGGCATTCTTGCCATGTCTCGAACATGACAAGCTCCTCGCATTTGCTATTCTCTATATATTCCTCCAGAATTTACACAGCCCATTCCCTCACTTCATTCAGGCTTCTGCTCACATGTCACCTCTTCAGGGAGGCCTCCCCAGGCACATTATGTAAACTGTACACTCAATGGAGAAGAGAATTAAAAACGAAGAATTGGGGAACTGGCTGCCCACAAGACTGAGAAATGAGTAAGTATGCAGTGTGAAGATGAGTGGGGTTTTGAGCGAGCAAGACCACATCATTAATTACTGAAACATGTCCTCCTTCATAACAACCCAAGTTTTCAAACTCAAAAAGGACTGATTTTGATGTTCTTATTTCCACAGAGAGCTCTAAACAAGGCCACCCTATTTATTACTATTATCCAGAATACAAAGCAGAGTGAGGAAGATGTGTTAACTAATCAGAATGAAGTAATAACTCAAACCAAAATTTGGCGTGGGCTATGTATCAAAAGGATTACTTGGAGGTTTCTGTTTTCAGGAAGGCTGAAGAAGCTCCTAACAGACCCAAACCTCCTGCAGATGGTAACTATAAACTCTGGACAAAAACACCAAGGAAGCAATTACCTGAAGGCACTGGACAGTGAACAGAAGGTGGCAAATTCCAGAGAGGAGCTGAAATTTAGGAAAGAATTACCAACATGAGTAGAATCACCATTGCTTTTATCCTGACAGTAGGCCAGAGTCAGCAGCATATGAACAGCTAAACTCACATACAACATCCAAGTCTTTTCTGGCCTGAAGAACAAGAGGGAAGAGTGGGAGTCAAAAACAGCCCTCAGAAAGAAAGGAGATTCCAGAAGAGAGAGAGCCAGATAGAGGGAGCTCCAAGTTCTATGTATAAACTACCCAGTCTCTGGCCCCCTCTAAGCCACATGTGCATGCCTGGTGCTATCTGTAAGCAGACCAACAAAAGATAAAAGGATCAAACTCACATTTGAGTTGCTGCTCAAGAGAAAGAACTTGCAGTCTAAGTTCAACTGAAGAAACTGCTTGCAAAAACTAAAACATCAATACTTTTCAGAGAAATAAAACAAAACCCACAGTCTTCACTGTATAATATTCACACTGTACAAAACTATGTGATGTACCAAGAACCAGAAAAACTTGACTCTCAAGAAAAAAGCAATTCAGTTAAATCCACCAAGTGACCTATATGTTGGAATTGGGAGACAAAAAAAGGATGTTGAAGTAGCTATTACAATTATGTTCAATGAAGTAAAAAGCATACTCAGAATGGAAAAAAAGAGGAGATCTCAGCAGAGAAACAGAAACTATTATTTTAAAAACATGGATAGTCTGGAACTGAAAAATATAATATTTGCAATTTAAAATTGGACGAGCTTAACTGTAGAGATGACGCAAAAGTCTGTGAACTTATCAATCAAGAGAAATGATCAAAACTGAATAGGGAAAAAAAAGTTTAAAAAAAATGAACAGACACTGAGAACTGTGGGATACAATCAAAATGTCTAATATACATATAATAGAGCCCCCAAAGGTGAGGAAAGAATGGAACAGAAAAAACATCTGAATAAATAATGAAGTAAAAATTTCCCAGTATATGCTGAAAAAAAAAATTTGACAGATTTAAGCGCTTAGTGAATCCCAGTCAGAACACAAATCAAAGAAAACCATGCCAAGGCATATCATACTCAAACCACTGAAGAAAAAAAAAAAAAAAAAAGTAAAAAAAAAGTCTTGAAAGCACCCAGAGAAAAGAAATTTGGAAACAAAAATTTGGGGAAACAAAATTTTGGAATATGTGGAAACAAAAATTTGGAAACCACTGACATACCATCAGAAACAAGGGAGACCTGAAAACAGTGAAACAGCCTTAAGATGCAATGAAAGTGGTCGTATCCGACCCAGTAAGGAGTTTTTGGAAGGACCAGCTTTCAAATCCCTTGGCATACTACTTCTCTCCATTTGACTTCCATTAGATAGTCTTTGTTGTTATGCTCCCAGAGCTAAGGAACCTGATTCAACTGTTTACAAAACAGGCAAGAGACAAAGCGGTCACCCACCATCACCACATCTGTCACACCATTCCGACAGCTACTTCAACTAATGGCACTTCTCCCATCTCTCTGGGTGGAGTCTAATCACCTTGCCCAGCCCCTATCCTATTTGAATTGATGAGAATTAAAGCAATTGGGGCAAGAGTATCCAAGGATGGTAGCAGTAAAGGTCACATATACTCTAAGCCATACCTAATTCAGTTTCCCTTGTTATCTAAATAATAGACAAGAATGAGGAATTTTAATATACAAATACCGGTAGGCACCCCTAAAACAATCCCTCTCTACCAAAAACGTAGGGCTCAATAGATTTCATAGCCCACAGATATTTAGCATTTATGCCTAATGCTTAGATAAGAACCTGAGCACAAGAGAAGCACAAACTGTCCATCGTTTTCCGAAATGGTATGTGGGGTTCCTGGGTTGATTAAAAAATGCTGATTTCAAATCATTTTCTCTGAAGGACTGGAATCTGAGAGACTGCCTGGGAATCACCCTACTGCTAATTTTAGAAGTACCTGTTAATTATAACATAATGGATAAGGTACATCTGCATCCCAGATAGCAAAACTACTCCACATCTCATTATAGTGCCATTTCTCCAGAGGGGAGAGAGCTGCCAGTCCCTCCTAGTCTCGATACCTGGTAATGTTGGCTCCATGCCCAAGAGGCCAGCAATTCAACCACTGACACCCCCCGCAAAAAAACCTCCCTCTCTTAAATAGAAAATGGAGTCAAAATATTTAGAGAATACAGTGTTTTCTCCAGCTTGAAACTGTTTCCTCTTTTTCAGAAGAACTAAAAAACACCAGTACCGCTAATATGAGTAAGCTATTCAGAATGGCCTCCTATTTGGAAAGTTTCTGGCATTTTCCAACTAAGCATTGTATTATTGCAATGAGCTACCCAGTAATCAAAGAGGACTACTTATTTCCCACCAGAGTTAAAAGAAAGGATTAGTTCTGGTAACTTCTCTAACAAATTTCAGTCACTGTTAACAAGGTGGTGTCGGCTTCTCTACATCCATACCAAATTCAAAAAAAACTCAGGAAAAATGGCAAACAAAAGCTGCTTTATTATTGTATTTGAGCAGCATCCACCTTTCAAGGAACAAATGCTTTCTTTTTTCAAATTTCAGTGACACTTAAAAAGTTGTAACCTCTAAGAAAAAAGTGAAATTTATTCAGAAAGAAATCTATAAAGAAATTTTCCCATTCACAACACTTTTCTTAATATACAAGATAAATTCTGGGATCAAAAGTTTTTAGAACCCCACATAGTTTGAAGAGCCTCAGATTATAAATTCAATTAAAATTTAAAAAAAGAAAAGACTAGCAGTGGTAGAAAGAAAATTTAAAACAAAGATTTGTACAGGAGAAGGTAAATGGTAACAGCTACAACACAAAGGGAAACTATGCAGAGGACAGACAAGGCCTTTACCAGTGAAGTGAATTAAAGTTGTCCATAACACAGGCAGCATATCCATACTGCCTTCCATCTTCTTGGACATAAAGAGATAAGTAGGAGTCAAACAGTTACTGGGTACCTTTCTAGATTCCTTACTTGTATTATTTTATTTTCCTCTCTAAGCCTTAAGTCAAAGAAGTTAACTCATCAAAGATCACAAAACTGACTACTTAATCCCAGGTCTCTATTACTCCAAAACTCATACTGCCCTATTATACCATGCTGCTGCTCAGGAAATACTTCACATGAATCAGTTTCTTGCTGATACAATTTTAAAAACCAGTCTAGCACAAATATTCCCCTTCTAAACGGATTCTTCCTAAAAACTACACTAATTTTCTTTAGCAACCTTCTAGTAATGCAGGGCCCATGGGAACTTCTGCTGTCCTTGCTACCTTTTTCTGAAAAGTATCTGTGCCACAGGATAAATAGGGGCAGTTTGTTTGCTTATGACTTGCTCTAAGGCCTCACATTTAAGATAAGTAGGTAATCTTCTAGATTGCTAAATTTATGCCAAAAGGTAGATAAACAACAAAGTCCTCAGAACTAAAGCCCTATCCTGCTATTATCTTTCCTGTAAAATATGGCATCCAAATCATGACAGATAAGATAAGGTAAAGAATAGAAAGAACCTGTGAGAGACCAGGACCTCCAACTCCCAAATATTTCAAACCCCAATTCCAATCTTCCAAAAAACCTCTACAATATTCTGACAAATAGTCCTCTTGCTAAGTCTGGAAGGTGATTAAAGCTGCAGCTTCTGGAATTGGACAACACTGAAGCTCAGTTTGTCCATGACTTGTCATGATTATGACCTTGGGCAAAAGAGTTAACCTCTTAAAGCCTCAGCTTCCATAGATATAAAGAGAAGAAACCATAATAACGATGTAAGTTTGTAAATCCTAAACTACACTGCCTGGGTCACACGTACTTCCTAAGCATTAGCTGTGTCGTCATCATCTGCATGAACATCTTTGTTATGACATGGAAGACATCAACAGGGCAACCGAAGGGCTTTTGTAAATCTTCATGGGGCCAATATTGATTTCAGTTTTGGAGAGTCTTAGGAGATTTAGGAAGTGAGTAGCAGAGATGGAACTGGCAAGGCCTGAAAGGACTGAAAAAGAAGCAAGCACAAATTCCACAGGGAAAGGAAATCTGTATAGTTTAAAAAAAAATTGTATCTACAAAGACTTACACTATATATATTTGGAAAAGGGATTACAAGTGAAACACTATCTCATGCAGTAAAACAAACTGCTCATTTTTCTATTACCATGATAGGGACGCCAATGTCAGGCCACAGAAGGTCCTCCGACGGTAGCTTGGGCGAATTCCATACCACCACTACCTTGTTCAGGTAAGGGAGGCCATTCAGTCTCTCTAGAGAGTTCATAAGCACTTCCTCCCGCTCATAGGTCAACATCACCACTGTGAACTGCTCTCGTGGAACATTGCCTCCAAGTGCTGCCTGAAACTCCTTGCCAGAACCCCCAGCTCCACCACCAATAGGCCGAAATCCAGTCCCTGAGCCCAAGAATTTGGCTTCTGAGGGCAACACGGGGTCAAAGGGTGTGTGGGGGAACAGATGGAAAGGCCCTGGAGCAGAGTTCCAGCTGCGGTAAAAATCAGTGACAGTCAATGTAAAGTTGCGGAGGTATTTGGGTGAGGCATAAGGCGGCTCCGTCTCCACTGGCCCCAGGTCCAGGTCCCCGTTGTCGGCCATGTTAGGGTCAGTTCCAGCCGCCTTGCCTGACCGATGGGGGATCTCAGCAGCTGCCTCTTCCCGGATGGGAGCAGCTGGGATCTGTATGCGAGTCCTAATCATAGCCAGCACGGTATTAAAAATACTGTCAGCGGTGGAGAAGTAAGTCTCCCAGAGAAAGCGGCCTTGCCGCCGCATAGCCAGCAGATCACTATCTGAGAGGCTTCGTAACAGAAAATGAACCTCAGTAACGCGTGGCTTGGGAACCACCAGGGCGGCCTCATTCCACTGCAGCATGTCCTGGTAAGGAAGCTGTACCTGCTCCCCCAGCACAACTGGGACAGCACCGACTTCCAGGGCTTCAAAGAGCCGTGTTGCACACCCAGACGAAATAACCAAGTGAGGGTCCCCAGGAGTGATAATGAGGGCGAAGGTGGAAAGCTTCAGCAATTCCAAGCGGTCCTCACGCTCACCACACAGTGCCCACTCGGTAGGCAGACTGGGCTTCGGCTGGTTTTTGCAAGTAAATTCTACCAGGACCTGATCTAGCCTGCTGTCCTGTACAGCCTTTAAGGTGGCAATGATTCGATCATCATAGTCAGCTGGAGGGTCACCTTCCATTTCTTCTTCAAAGGAGCGGGCCTCCTGAAGGCTGGATCTCAGTGATTCAATCTTCTCACCCTGGAAGGTGAAAAGATATTTCCGTTTAACTGGCACCTGTGGTGGGATTTCCATGAAGTTGGGCTCCGACATGGCATGGACTAGTGGCGACACTACCAAATCAAAGCCAGGTCTGTATTGGGAAGCATAGAAAGTAGACTGAGCCACCATGGCACGGCCTGTACTAACATTATATAGTAAGTTCTGTGTATCTGACTTCCGTGACAGATTGATGATGACATGGTTGTGTCCATCTGTCCGCCAATGTGGTAGGGAATAGAGTTGCTTCTCAAGTTCGGCAGGCCGAAGCACTACTGGCTCCTGTATTTCTCCCACTAGTATCACATAAAGGCAGGCAATGTCTGCATTTTCTGTAACATATACATTGGCTCGTGCTGTAGCTTGGAAAGCCTGCTTGACTAAGGGATCCAGGTAGCTGCCAAAGGCAAACTGGTCACTGTCATATACATAGACTGGAAAACCGGAGGTGAGAGGACAACGAGAATAATCAAAACAATTGTGAAGCCGGCATCCCCGTATGACCTTTGGGGGAGGAAGACCAGCATCGTCCTTCTCTGGAAGCAGCCGGATAGGCAGAGAAAGTTTGGGCTGATTCTGAGCCATCAGCTCTTTATAAGAGTGCTCAGTCTGGCTAATGACATTCTTGAGCTGAAGCAGGTCCTGCTTGGCATTCTCAATACTCTTCTTACAGGCTTCAATCTTCAGATTCAGCTTGGCAATTTCACTGTTCAGCTCTTGCCGCTTGGCTTCCAGCTGCAAGAGCTCCTCACTCACAGACTCACGAATCCGGCAAAGATCCAGCACATGCTTTACCTCGCAGAGTTCGTTACCAGCCCTTGGGCCAAAAATCCGCTTGCCGGCCTCATCAGCCTCATCCAGAGTGGTGAGATAATAGTGAGCAATGAGGGGGAAGAAAACCAGAATAATGAAGAGCGTAAAACTGAGCCATGTGAGTCGGATCCGGTTGGACCACCGTAACATACAGGTTTGACCTCCATTCCCCACTCCCCCATTCCGCAACATGGTATAGCCCGTCATGAGTTCCTGTGTGGCTTTTGCCCCCTCTAGTCACGTTGGGTCACTCGCCATAACCATGAGTTTCTAGTAAACAAACTCAATCTCTTTTCACTCACACCTTTCTGGTAAGAGTTAGTGTGCTCCCTGTACAAGGCACGGAATAAAATGGAAATTTCATTTTCCTCAGCTGTAATTGAAATAGTCTCTGACCTTATTCCAGCAGATTTTAAGTTCTGATTGCTGACCAGTGGACATGTCCTTACTCTTTATCGAATGGTAAAAGGTACCACATTGTTGATGAGATGAAAAGGAGAAGGTCCCTGATGATGAAACCCAGGAAAAATAACCTGGAATCAGACAGGCTTTTTCAACTGCCATAGCTCTTGTTCCTCGATTTTGCTGACCAACAAATACACATAGTTACTATTCACAGTTATAAAGTAGCTGGTTAGAACAGAAAGAAATGCCAGCCTCTTATCGATGTCATTGCCAACAATCAGGCCTGCAAAAGAAAGAGAACCATGTCAGTCTTGAAAAGATTATGTCCAACAACCCCACCTTCCCTCACGTTTCTAGAAAATGCTTCTATCTTAAAAGATAAAGGAACAGCTGGAACATTGGGCATGTGTCTCATAGGACATTTTAAGTTCAGTTTAGGTTGCCTTCATATGGATATTTTCCTTGTGGTTAATAAGAAATGGATAAGGAGAAGTGTCCAAAAACAGCCTCATATTTTATACACACAGATATACATACCCCTTCCTCCTATTTAACTGGATATAGAGCAGAATTAGAGCTCTATAAAATGAAGATCAACCACATTCAACAGAGTGCAAAGATGTCTGCAACAATTTTTATTTAAGACTGAAGCAGCATCTTTAGATGGAGAAACACCACCCTATCCAGACTTGATAGCCAGTTCTACTCCTAAGATGAGTCTCTTTTTGAATTACTTAGGGAAAAAAAAAAGACTCTGAGAAGCTCAATGTTTTATATTCAGAGTTGAAACGAGTTGAAGAGAATTCTTTTGATCTTTACCCAGTAGTAGGTGCATTAATCCAGAGACAAAAATATATTTCCCAGGTTCCTTCTCATTTATCTTCTGCTAGCAGACATCATGTGCTCCTTCTTAAAATATAAATAGTAACTTGGTCTTTTAGAAAGACTACTATACTTAGAAATGAGGGCCGTTATTTCTTGTCCTTTGGAGACAGATTTGCTATCAAACTTTATACCTCAGTTTCCTAATCTCCCAAAATGGAGAGAAGTGTACGGAGACAGAAACAATATATTGTGTTGCTATGACAAGAAAGGACAGAGGATTTAGGATATTTTCAGCTAATAAATCTTGAAACAACATTCCCACTCCTGTTCATTTACCAACTTTATAGCTACAAAAGCTTTTCACTTCTTTCATCTCAAACTTAACATATGTAGAACTGAACTCCTAATATTCTGTGCCAAAGAAAAATCCCAATTTCTTCCATTCATTTCCTCCAAAAAGTATTTATCATACTTTTGACATGTCTGAGACATATTCAGTATAGCTGGGAGAAGGTAGAATGCAAAATAATCTTTGAGGGAACCTCCTTTAACCTGAGATACAAGATGTAAACGAACAGCAAGGGTATTACTACAAGGTAGGATAATGTACATAACCCACCAACAGGTCTCATTTCACAATCCTCTCTCTAGCTTCCATGTTTGGTACAAAATTATTAAAGTCTGGATACAGTTTTCTCTCCTTTAAATAAAAAAAGTTGCCAATGTTAATAAAAGGCTTGCGTAAGTAGAACAAGAGATACAGACAACAGAAAACAAAACTATTGATCACAAAAAATTTGTGATTAAATTTGGTGGATCAAACCCTGGATAATTAACAACTAAGCAAATATCCCAGAGAATGTTAAATCAGTATTTCTAAAGCACTATCCTTCTAATTCAAATGTTAAAAATCTCTCTGTTTCCAAAAGAATACTCTCTGCACCTTAAAATCGGATTATAACAAAAAAATAAGAAGTGGAGGAAATAAAGGAATGCATAATCAAGAAAATTCAGTTGATTCATTCCCTCCTTACCATGTGTTTCTGGATCCTTTCTTTTTCTAACTCATGCAGCATTTTATTTCAGTATACAGTTTCTTGAAATAGTGAACTCCAGGTCCCAGGGCTTGTTCTCCTGATAGAAAACAGAAAAGTGACATGCCATTAGAAAAACACTCAATACTGGGCAGCCTGGGTGGCTCAGACAGTTAAGTTTACGCCTTCCGCACAAGTCATGATCCCAGGGTCCTGTGATTGAGCCCCGTGTTGGGCTTTCTGCTCAGCCGAGAGCCTGCTTCTCCCTCTCCCTTTGCTGGCCGCTCTGCCTACTTGTGCCTTCTCTGTCAAATAAGTAAATAAAATCAAAGAACGAAAGAAAGAAAGAAAAATGCTCATAAACTAAAGGTGCTATTAAACAATGTATTTACTAAAGGGGGAAGACGCTGTGGGAGTAGAAAAACCCTAGGCTTGCCTCATGGTCCCATGAACACAACTAGATAACTACCAAATCATCCCAATACCCCAGAAATCAGAAATTGACCTGAAGACTGGCAGAACAAACTCCACAACTAAAGGTAGAGAAGAACCCATACAAAGAAGGTATGAAGTGCAGAGACACGGTTTGGGAGAAGTGGATCCTGGCCCCTGCAGTGAGCAGTGAGCCACCGTGGCGAAGAAGGGTAAGAGACAGACTAGCCCCCACGTGTGGAACACAAATTCCCATAGCAATGGCTTGGAAACCAAGAGGGGTCAAATTTCATGAGTTCTTGCTAACAGTGGAGCTTAAAGCCTGGAGTTCTAAAAGTCTGCAGGCTTGGCTCAAGGAGAGCCTAGCGGGCACTGGGACTGTTCTTGGAGAGAAGGCAGGGTGAAGAGCCCGTGGAAACAAAAATCTGAAGAGCACCTGGGGCACACAGTGGGGAGATTATTTGCTCATCTAAATGGCAGTGTTTGCAGAGAGACCTCTCCAGGAATGAAGGAACTGGCCTGCACCACCAACCCCGGCCCCTGCCCACTCAGCATGAGCACTAGGTCACCTGCAGAACCAGCACACTCCTCACTGCTTAACTCGCTTATAGCAAGCCCCACCGCACCCACTGAGCTAGTAGAACTGGCGCTCCCTTCAGGCTTGCCTCAATCCCAGCACAGTGGGCTCCCTACCCCTAAAGACTGGCACAACCTCCTGCCCACACCACATCTCCCAACCCAGGAGTTTTGTAGGGCCTCAGTTCAGGCAACAGTGGCAACAGGTCTTATTTCACAAGCAGATGAGAGCACATTTAGTAAAAACTCATCACATTCAGGCCAGGGACCAAACATTGCTCACAACAGGCAAAGACAGCCTCTGCAAATGACTGGCCTAAAGGATAAAGTAACCAGAACACAACAGGAGAGAGCAGGCAGCACACAATGGAGACAGTCCCTGAAGTGCGAGACCCTGGGGAACAGGGGACACTGCACTGTAGGGCAGTACTAGACCAATTTCTTCATAAGGCCATTACTGTCAAGAACAGAAGACTTAACTATCTTCCTAACACAGAGAAATAGGCACAGGGACCTAGAAAAAATGAGATGACAGAGTTATGTGTCCTAGAGGAAAGAACAGGACAAGGCCACAGCCAGATATGAGATATAAGTGAAACAGATATAAGTAAGATGCCTGATAGAGAATTTAAAGTAATGATCATAAAAATAGTCACTGAACTTGAGAAGAGCGGAAAGCATCACCAGGAGGATTAACACAGAGATAAGGAATACCATAGCAGAGGTAAGGGGCTCAATAAAAGAAACAAGAAACACCCTTGATGGAATGAACAGCAGGCTGGAAGAAGCAAAGGAACAAATGAATGACACAGAAGGCAGAATAATGGAAAGTAATCAAGCTGAACAAAAGAGAGAAAAAAGAACTATGAAAATGCAAACAGATTTAGGGAACTTAGTGACTCCATCAAACAAAATCACACTTGTATCACAGGGGTCCCAAAAGAAGAGACAGAAAAGGGGACAAAAAGTTTATTTGAATAAATAAGAGCTGAAAACTTTCCTCATCTGGAGAAGCAAAGATATCCAGATCCAGTAAGTACAGAGAACCCCCAACAAAGTCAAGAGAATCCACACCAAGAGATACTATAATTAAAATGGCAAAATGTAGTGATAAAGAAAAAAATTTTAAAGCAGCAAGACAAAAGAAAACAGAAACAGAAGGGAAACCCCATAAAGCTGTCATTGGATTTTTCAGAACTTTGAAAGCCAGATGGAGTGGCATGATATATTCTAAGTACTAAATGGGAAAAACCTCCAGCCAAGAATACTCTATCCAGCCATGAATACTCTGAACAGCAAGGCTATCATCCAGAATACAAGGGGAGATAAAAAGCTTCTCAGAGAAACAAAAATTAAAGGAGTTCATGACCACTAAACCAGCCCTGCTAGAAATATTAAAGAGGATTCCTTGAGAAGAAAGGAAAGACCAAAAATGACAGTATGATTGTAAGAAACATAAAAGCGGTACAAAAATGATTATTTCTGTAAAAATTCAGTTAAGGAACTCACAAAATAAAAGGATTCAGAGTATACACCATATACCTAAAATGTGGGGAGGAGAGGAGTAAAGAATGGTTCCAATTTAAATGATCAACTTAATATAGACTGACATATGCAAAAGATGTTATCGATAAACCTAATGGTAAGGATGCCGGGGTGGCTCAGTTAGTTAAGTGTCTGCCTTCAGCTCAGGTCATGATCCCCGTGTCCTGAGATCAAGTCCCACATTGGGCTCCCTGCTCAGCAGAGAGCCTGCTTCTCCCTCTGCCTGCTGCTCCCCCGGCTTGTGCTCTAACAAATCAATAAATGAAAACCTTTTTTTAAGTATAAATAAATAAACCTAATGGTAACCACAAATCAAAAACTACTAATAGATACGCAAAGAATAGAGAAAGGAATCCAAATATAACACTAAGGCAAACTAGTGAGCCATGAAAGAGAAAGAAAAAGCTCAGAGAAAAACTTCAGAAACAATCACAAAACAAGGACTAAAACAGTAATAAATGCACATCTGTCAATAATTACTTAAAAAAAAAAGATTTATTTTAGAGAGAGGGGGAGAGAGTGCGCAAGTGTAGACACAAGGGTGCAGGGGTAGGGGCAGAGGGGGATGAGAAAAATCCTTAAGCCAGCTCCTCACTGTGCACTGAGCCCAGTGTGGGGCTGACATCATGACCCGAGCTGGAAATCAAGAGTTGGACGCTTAGCCAACTGAGCCCCCAGGTGTCCCTATCAATAATTACTTTGACTGTAAGTGGACTAAATGCTCCAATCAAAAGACATACAGTGACAGAGTGAGTAAAGAAACAAGACCCACCTATATGCTGCTTACAGGAGACTCATTTAAGACTCAAAAACACCTGCAGACTGAAAGTGAAGGAATGGAGAAGCATTTATCATGGAAATGATATCAAAAGAAAGCTGGAGTAGCAATACCCACATCAGACAAAACAGATTTTAAAACAAAGACCATAATAACAGACAAAAAAGGGCACTATACCACAGTCGCCAAACTGTGGAAAGAACCAAGATGCCCTTCAACAGACAAATGGATAAGGAAGATGTGGTCCATATATACTATGGAGTATTATGCCTCCATCAGAAAGGATGAATACCCAACTTTTGTATCAACATGGACAGGACTGGAAGAGATTATGCTGAGTGAAGTAAGTAAAGCAGAGAAAGTCAATTATCATATGGTTTCACTTATTTGTGGAGCATAACAAATAGCATGGAGGATATGGGGAGATGGAGAGGAGAAGGGAGTTGAGGAAATTGGAAGGGGAGATGAACCATGAGAGACTATGGACTATGAAAAACAATCTGAGGGTTTTGAAGGGGCAGGGGGTGGGAGGTCGGGGGAGCCAGGTGGTGGGTATTATAGAGGGCACGTATTGCATGGAGCACTGGGTGTGGAGCATAAACAATGAATTCTGTTACACTGAAAAGAAATTAAAAAAAAGTTACTTTCATCCCCAAAAGGGGGGGGCACTATATAATAATAAAGGGTACAATCCAAGAAGATACAACAATTGTAAATATTTATCTACCCAATATGAGAGTACCCAAATGTATAAACAGTTAATAACAAACAAAAAACCTAATCAATACTAATGTAATAATAGCAGGAAAATTTACTTACTTGCTTATTTATTTATTTATTTTTCGGCAAGCTCTACACCCAACATGGGGCTTGAACACACAACCCTGAGATCGAGTCACATGTTCTACCAACTGAGCCAGCCAGTGCCCCAATAATAGTAGAGGACTTTAACACCTCACTTACATCAACTGACAGATCATCCAATCAGAAAATCAACAAGGAAAAATGGCTTTGAATGACACCAGATCAAGGGGATTTAACAGATATATTTAGAACATTACACCCTAAAACATAGAATACACATTCTTTTCAAGTGTACATGGAACATTCTCCAGAACAGACCATATATGAGGCCAAAAAACAAGTCTCAACAAATTGAAAAGGACTGAAATCATACCATGCATCTTTTCTGACCACAACACTACACAACTAGAAATCAACCACAACAAAAATCTGGAAAGACCACAAATACATGGAGGTTAAATAACATGTTACTAAACAATGAAAGGGTCAACCAAGAACACAAAGGAGAAATCAAAAAGTACAAGGGAACAAATGAAAATGAAAAAACATGGGGTCCAAAACCTTTGGAATGCAGCAAAAGCAAAAAGGTAGGCAGTTTACAATACAGACCTACCGCATGAACAACCTAAACTTACATCCAAAGGAGCTAGAAAAAGAACAAACAAAACCCAAACCCAGCAGATGGAAGGAAATAATTAAGATCAGAGTAGAAATAAATGATACAGAAACAAACAACCCCCCCCCAGTAGAACAGATACATCAACCAGCAACTGGTTCTTTGAAAGGATCAACAAAATTCATAAACCTCTACCCAGACTCCTCAAAAAACAAAGAAGGGGGAGCCTGTATAGCTCATCTGGTTAAGCATCTGGTTCTTGATTTTAACTCAGATCATGATCTCAGTGTTGTGAGCTCAAGCCCTGCATCAGGCTCTGTGCTCAGTGTAGCATCTGCTCCAAAATTCTCTCTC